TGTGTGAGAATTAGGTTGTGTGCGTCCAAAATGAGCACCCTTCAAGTTTTTTTTGTTTGTTTTTTTGGGGTTCTTTTGCGGTACGCGGGCCTTTCACTGTTGTGGCCTCTCCCGTTGCGGAGCACAGGCTCCGAACGCGCAGGCTCAGCGGCCATGGCTCACGGGCCTAGCCGCTCCGCTGGATGTGGGAGCCTGGCACGAACCCGTGTCCCCTGCATCGGCAGGCAGACTCTCAACCACTGTGCCACCAGGGAAGCCCACCCTTCAAGCTTTGAAGGTCTCTACACATTGCTTACAAAAAGAGACTTAGTATGACGATATGAGCAGCAAAAGTCTGCAACTTTCAGGTTCTACCAAAATCTCTGGCTCTAAGGTCCCTCAGTTAATCGGGACAGCTTCCGCCTCCCTTAGCAGACACCTCCCTTAGCAGACTCCCCTGGCTGCTGCGTTCCCCACCGCTTCGTATCCTTCCATTCCAGAAGAGCAACTAATGTGGAAGGGTTAGGAGAATCAGGGCCATAATAGTAACGTTTTTGTCCTAAGAAGGAATCTGGGCATATTAGATATTTTCTGTACTACAGATGGGGAAGAGAATTTGGCTTAAGAGATGCCTTATAAGCAAAATTTAAAAGTGTGTAATCGAGTAACTGCTTTAGACTCCTGATTTTAAGTCGAAATCTTATGACGTTTAGGCAAAGTTTCAGACCATCGAATAATTTAAAGTTTACCATACTTTTAGGTATAATTGATTACCTTTGTAAAAATTAATACTTGAAGAAGATTGATGTATTGTCAGGTAACTGAAATACCCAAAGAGGAAATAAAACGTATTACGTTTATAAATTTATATAAGATGCATAAATGCTAAGCCAAGGTCAGCAAAACTTTTTCTTAAAGGGCCAGATAGTAAATATTTTAGGTTTTGTGGGCCAGAGGGTCTGTGCCGCAGCTACTCAATTTTGCCACTGTATTGGGAAAGCAGCCAGAGATAATAAATGTTAAATGAATGGACATGGCTGTGTTCTAATAAAACTTTATTTACAAAAACAAGTGGTGAGCCCACAGGCCATCATTTGCCAATCCCAAAGAGGCCTGTATTACACTGGGAAGTGTTTCATTAGCTACCTTTATAAACTGAAGCAAACATTATTCAAGATCCCTAAAAATTATTGCTAAAATAACAAATGAAATATGTAATCTGAACTTGAACATTTAAGAACATTATTCTTCCATTAAATCATTTATTCCTTTATATCCAACAACCAGTTTTCAGGGAAATGAAAGGACAAAGGAACATCATAAACACCACCACGGGATACAATCAGCAAAATCCTGATTTTGCGAAACCGTGTGGAACAAACTACCTGCTTGCTTTCTTTCTCTCTGTTTCTCTCTTGGCTGTGTTGGGTCTTCATTGCTGTAAGCGGGCTTTCTCTATTTGCTCTGAGAGGGGACTACTCTGTGTTGCAATGCACAGGTTTCTCATTGCGGTGGCTTCTCTTGTTGCTGAGCACGGGCTCTAGGCGCACGGGCTTCAGTAGTTGTGGCTCGTGGGCTCTAGAGCGCAGGCTCAATAGTTGAGGTGCAGGGGCTTAGTTGCTCTACAGCATGTGGGATCTTCCCAGACCAGGGCTCGAACTCGTGTCCCCTGCGTTGGCAGGTGGATTTTTTTTGTTGTTTTTTTTTGTTTTTTTGCAGTACGCGGGCCTCTCACTGTTGTGGCCTCTCCCGTTGCGGAGCACAGGCTCCGGACGCACAGGCTCAGCGGCCATGTCTCACGGGCCCAGCCGCTCCGCGGCATGTGGGATCTTCCCAGACCGGGGCACGAACCCGTGTCCCCTGCATCAGCAGGCGGACTCTCAACCACTGCGCCACCAGGGAAGCCCTGGCAGGTGGATTCTTAACCACTGCGCCACCAGGGAAGCCCCCTGCTTTCTTTAACAAATAAAGTGCAAGGGAAAAAAATAAAGCAAGTACCCAAATGGAGACATGTATTAAAAGAGACTTGAGAGGCATATTGACCAATAGTAATGCACAGATCTTATTTGGATTCTGATTCAAACATACTGTATACGTAAAATGATGACGTTTACAAAACAGCTGAAAATGTGAACACTGGCTGGATATTTGATAAAATGAAGGGATTATTGTTCAAACTTTATAGACATGATAAATGTGTCATGGTTATATATATTTTTAAAGAGTCCATATCTTTTAGAAATACATGCTGAACTATTTACAAGTAAAATGGTATATGCCTAGGATTTGCTTCAAATATGGGAGGGAATTAATTGGTGAAGGTATGGTTGAAACAACATTGGCCCTGAGTTTATAATTATTAAAGTTGGGTAATGTGAACATGGGGGTTCATACACTATTTTGGCCTTTTTTGTTAAGTATATTGAAATGTTTCATAATACAAAATTTCTAAACTGGAAATTTAAAAGCTTATTTTTTAAAAAACATAGCAGTGAAAAGGAACAAACTACTGATATACATAGCGACATGAATGAATCTCCAAATCTATGCTGGGTAAGAAAAGCCATACACAGAAGAGTATTTACTGTATGACTCTGTTGATATAAAATTCTAGAAAATGCAAATTAATATATAGTGACAGAAAGTGGATCAGTGGCTTCCTGGCTCTGGGAGTAGAAGGAGGGATATTCTGTGTGGTGCAAGGAGAATCTCTTGGGAGTGATGAAAATGTTCTGTATCTTGATTGTGGTGGTGGTGGTTTCATAGATGTGAACCATCTGGTTTTTTTAAAAGCTTAGGAACACATTAAGGTTTTGAATTTGTTGTTTCAATAAACTGAACACTAATCTTTTAAACCAGGATCAGCAAACTTTCTGAAAAGGGTCACATAGTAAATATTTTAGACATAGCAGGACATATGGTCTCTGTGGCAACTACCCTGAAATCTGAATTTCAAAAATGTTCACGTCACAAAATATTATTCCCCTTTCTATTTTTTCCAACATTTATAAATGTAAAAACCATTCTCAACTCATGGGCCATGCAAATCAGCGTGGGCCGATTTGACCCATGGCCATAGTTCACTGGACCCTTACAAACTTTTTACCATTAGACAAAAATAAAAGTAAACTTTTGAATAGTCTTTTCTGCACAGGAAAAACCACCCCAGAGAGCATGAAACTAACTCACTTAACTATTATTATTATTATCTGGGTATTTCCAGTGCATTTGGCAGGGTATTTCTTGGAATAAACCAACGTTTTCAAATTATGATTTGGTTTTGTATGGAGCTTGACTAAAGGAAAAGAATGCACTGCTCAACTACTTGTAAATGTTGCTATTCTTTGTAGTAGAGATTATTCACTCTAAATTGATAAGTTGCTGTTCTAGCATCTGTCACACTTTCTAATGTGCTCTCATTTAGCCTGTCTCACAGACCTTGATCACCCTTGGACACCAACAAGAGTGAATCTTTTCTCCAAAGCTGGGAGGAAAAGATGTGGGGCAGGGGGGGTTGTGCAGGAGAGATATATGAAAAGGGGCTGTATTTTAGTTGCAGAAGAGTTGGATGAGAGAGGTTATGCAATCTTGATCTCAGTAAAGTGGGCAGTCAGACTGGCCATGAAGAATGAAAAAGACGCGGGCATGACGTAGGGGCTGAAAACCATAGAAAACAGCCTTTAAACAATGTCATAGAAGACACAACATGAACAAAAGGATTGCCAGGAGGCAGTTAGACACCAAGTACGTAGGTGTAGGTACTCAGTACTTGTTTGTTGCCGAAATAGCACCTACATAATTCCCATTTACTTTTGGAGAAGGATAGTATAGAAAAATGAATAGGTAGTGGACACCTTTTGTTTTGCTTAATTAGCACCCTCTTTTCTGAATCCACAGGGTGGTCATGTTAGTACAATGTGGCCTTACTGTCCTGGCCCCATCTGATTGGTCAGGGTAAGGATGTGACCCAACTTGGCCACGTCTATAGTTGGTCGGTGTTCAACACAGCTCTGACCCAATCCAGGCCAAGCAAAGTTCTTTTCCAGGAATTTTGGAGCTAGAACTGATAAAGAGAAGCTGGTCTCCCTTTGTGTGTCTGGACTCCAAGATATAATCGCCCAGGAGCTGGTGGACAAGTAGAGGAAACCTGCTTGTAGAGAGAGAAGGATGAAAGCAGATGTGAGTTGGAGAAGGGGGGTACGGAACTCTAATTCTAGTTGTCCCTGGAGCCTCGGGTCTATGCTTGGATTCTGGAAAACGGCCCAATATCCCTTTCATGTATCCCTCATTTTAGTTAAACAGATTCCAGTTGACTTTCTGTCACTCACAACCAAGAGTCCTATATGATACAGAATGAATGAGTGAATGAATGAATAAATGACATCATCTCTACACTCAAGGTCATAGTCCCAGAGCCTAGAGGTGTTCCAATTAGTTTCAATGATGACGAGACTTTTAAACTGGTATAAACATTAATAGAGGGAAACCTCACTAAAATGGATTTGGGAGGCTAGAAGCAGGAGAGGTCTCATGCACATACCACTCAGTCTCAATTACAGGAAGAACTGTCGATTACAGACCCCAACAGAAGAATCACCAACAAGAAGGAACCATCAATTAGAGGCCCCAACAGGAAAAGATGTACATTGCATCTCCTACATGAAATCCAATACCTCAGCAATTCAACCGATGAGAAACCATCATTACCCCAAACTCTCACTTTCTCTAATGGATTTTCATTCAAAACAATCCCTCTGGGGCTTCTCTGGTGGCGCATTGGTTAGGAGTCCACCTGCTAATGCAGAGGACACGGGTTCGTAGCCCTGGTCGGGGAAGATCCCACGTGCTGTGGAGCAGCTGGGCCCGTGCGCCACAACTACTGAGCCTGCACTCTAGAGCCCGGGACGACTGAAGCCCGTGCGCCCGGAGCCCGTGCTCTGCAACAAGAGAAGCCACCACAATGAGAAGCCCGTGCACCGCAACGAGTAGCCCCCGCTCTCAGCAACTAGAGAAAACCCGCGTGCAGCAGCGAAGACCCAGTGCAGCCAAAAATTAATTAACTGAATAAATAAATTTATTTAAAAAAAACTCCCAGTGCCCTCCTTTTTCCCTATAAAATAATGTTCTTCTCCTTTGTTTATTGGACTTGCCTATGGCTTTTGCTATAGCTTGTTTGTCCCGAATTGCAATTCCTCCGCTATCCCGGAATAAACATATTTGCTGGTTGAATAACTGACTTTTATTTTTATGGTCAACATTGGCCTATGAAGAACATGTAAAAGCAAACTCTTTTCATCTTAAGAAGAAAGGAATCTTCACCCAGTAACTCAGGCAAACTGGAGAAACCGGTCTATCAACTCATTCAATCTTAAGGAATTTTCTGCTGGTCCCTATGAAGTAAAAGAAAGAAAATGTGCCTTTGGAAACCAGAGATATCAACAAGGAAATAAAACAGCCTGAGCCATTTCATTGCTGTGATCTGCTTTCCCTTTTTTTTTTTTAAGAGGAAGAAGGATGGCATGTCTTAGGTTGGAATGCCTTAATAAGTGGACACAATCCTGAGCAACTGTTCTTCAGTCATGGCTAAAGTGGCCTATTTATGCCTAATCGCAGTTCACATACTCAAGAATCTGTCTGAAATATGTAAAGTTTTGAGAAGTGGTGCAGAAATTACGGAAGAGTGTCAGCAACAACGCTTAGTAATGATGTTAGCATTTAGAAGAGTCTCTAGGAGGAAACTCAGGTTTACTCTTCTATAAGGAAGGTTATGTGGTCAGGCTGAGGGCGTTGCCTAAGAGCTTTGGATAAAAGGGATTATAACCAGAGTTTGAAAAGGTTAAATGAATTTTCTTGTGTAGCTTACTCTTAAACTAGCCTTTCTTCCCAAAATGCCCTGAACTTTCAGTCTCTGTTATGATTAGACTCTTCCAGAAAGTGATATTTTTTATAAGTTATACTGATAATGAAAGGGATCAGTGAAAAAACATAAGCCTTTTATTTTTTTAAGTAATTTTTAACAAGCAAATAGTTAAATCCCCACTAGTCAGGCTGCCTTTTTTGACTAGGAAAGTGACATTTTTAAGAACTGGTTGGTCCCAGTTTCCACTCAAAAACTCCTTTTTCCTATTAACTTTTCTCTCCCTGTGATTCTCCTGGCTTGTGGCAGCATGTCTTTTAAGTATGGGGCAAGCGTGGCTGGTTTATCTCCTCCCCTTCTTATTCCCATCTTTGCCTCTCTTTTCACTGCCTCCTCTCATTGCCAAAAAGAACAAAAATGTGCATTTTTTTTCACCTGTAAATTTCCAGTTGCAAATGAAAGTATCTAAATTAAATTGGTTTCACCTTGTGCCCACCTATTTAGGAGTACAGAGAGGAATTATCCCCTCCTACCATTTTAAGCATGCAATACGTGCTTGATACAAAAAAAAAAAGTTTTAAACACTGGAAAGTATAAAGAAGATGGGGAATAATTGCCCATATTTTCATTACCCAAAGACAAATACTATTTTGGAGTATTTCTACAGAGGCCTTTTCTTTCGTTCTTTTATGTCTTTTTGGGGTCTTAGTTTATGGGTATATTTTTTCATCATAACTGTGATGACTTTTCCTCCTAATATTCTATATAAGCATTTCTCGGTTTTACTACAAACCTCATAAATATGCATTAGATGCATAATATTTCATCCAATGAAATATTCTACTTAACCACTTTCTACTTCTAGATATTTCACAAACCTTACTTCTTGTGTCATCTCATCAGTGTTACCCGTGAGTTTTCCAAAACATGAATGGCCGGGCAGGATTGTCAGCAACAAGATCTTAAGTGGTAGCTCATCCACCAGTAGCCAAGAAAGGATGTTTGTAATGAGGAACTGCCACAGTGCTGGAGCATGAAGGGTGACGTGGCGAACATGGCAGCAAAAAAGGGCAAGAGGACACTTTCTAAAAAGACAAATATAACTTCAAATAATGTAGGCAAAACTCCATGAAACATTCACTCGGCAGTCACTACATTACGTGCCAACAGGACATACAGACATCTCAACAAACAAAGTGCAAAGATAATCTATAAACAAACAAGGAGTACTAGCAGCTGGGGAGGTGGGGATTAACTCTGCCTGGGAGGGCTCCACAGAGGTGGAACTGCTCACCTACGTCTTGACAAATAAGAAGGAGTTCCCTGGCTAGACAAAGGAGAAAACAGAGGTAGACAGAGGAAATAGCATGTGCAGAAGTCCAGTTTCTAAAACAGCAAGGTGTGTTCAAGGACTCTCAACCAGGGCTGTGTAGCTGCAGTGAAGTGAGAGAGGCTGGGGTCACGTCCTGAAGAACCCTGATGCCCTGTGTTGAACAGTAAAGAATTTGTCTGGTCCTTGTGTCTCTCAGTGGTAAACACTAAATCCTTGGCATTTACTGAGTGATCCTTTGCTGTTCATGGTGGCCCCTGACCACACCTGTGTTTATGCTAACGCGATGACTTTCCAGCATGACTGTCATGACTTAGACCAGTCATGCTGGAAAGATCAACCATGTGATTAGAGGGTTGGGGCTTTGAGCCAGCCAACCTCTAGGGAGTGGAAGGAGGCTGGAGGCTGAGTTCAATCACCTGGCTGATAATTCAATCAATCATATTATGTAATGAAACCCCAATAAAACTCGAGACCCCAAGACTCCAGTGAGCTTCCTGGTCGACAAATACATCAAATGTGCAAGGAGGAGGGTGCATCCTGAGTCTACTAGGAAAGTGCACAGAGGCTCTACATCTGGCTGGTCCTGATTTGCATCCTTTATAATAAAACTGTAGTTGTAAGTATAGTACTTTCTTGAGAGTTTTATGAGTTGCTCTAGGTGGTTGAGGGCACCCCTGAATTTGTAGCCAGTTGGTCAGAAGTGCAGGTAGGCTGGGGGCCCCTGAACTTGTGACTGGAATCTGAAGGAGAGCAGTCTTATCAGGGACAGTGCCCTCAACCTGTAAGTCTGCAAACTTCAGGTGATCTGCATAGGAATCGCACCACCAGGTTGCATCCTGGGAAGAAATTTGGACCTGATTTTGAAGGATTTTAAGTAAAGGGACATCACATATTTGTGTCTTAGGAAAATCACTCTGTGCAGTATGAAGAGTGGATTAGACAGGGGAAAATCACTCTGTGCAGTATGAAGAGTGGATTAGACAGGGAAAAATATGAAGGGAGAGCTTTATGGATTGCTGGGAATCAGGCAGGAGCAATAAACTAGGCCAACATACAGCGATCAGGAGTGAAGATGAATTACCAAAAATCTCTGAAATAACTGTGTGAAGCAGCAAATCAAAGAGCAGCATCCCCCGGGCTTGGCTCTGCAAGAATGTGCCCAACCTATCATGGAATGAAGATAGAAGTTTATTGGAAACATCACTTTTGATTATCACAAGCTAAAAGATTTGGATCTTTTAAAAAAGAGTAAAAAGATACATTTTTCTTTTGAGTCTTTAGGAAGAGTTTAAAGATACAGAATAATACAACGAATGATTATGTGCTTACCCCTGCCCCCAATTAGCACGTGTAAATATTCTCTTCTTTTCTATTAATTAGTTCTATTTGTGCTTATTTGCTTTCTATTATAAATCAGTGGCTTTCCACAGTGGGGCGGGGACTCCCAGGGGACATTGGATGGTGTCTAGAGGTATTTTTGGTTGTCACAATTGGGGATGCTACTGGCATCTAGTGAATACAGCCCAGAGGTGCTGCTAAACATCCTAAAATGCACAGGACAATCCCCATCGCAAAGAATTATCTGGCCCAAAATGTCAATGCTGAGGCTGAAAAATCCTGATTTAAATAAAAGAAATAAAATATTATAAAGTTGAACTCCCTGTGTACCCTTCCAAACCCACTTCCCAACCACCCTCTCCCCAAAGGCAGCCACTAACTTGAATTAGGTATAAGGACAGAGGATTTTTTTGGAGTTATATTTTTCCAACTTCTTTTTTGCTAAGTTCTTAGGGTTCAACCCTTTGAAAATTTTTAGTTAATTCTCAGTGTCTCCTACAGGAATGAAAGTACCCACACAGACACCACTGTGCCATCAAAAAAGTACAATTGTAAAGGTGCTGCCTTTACACACACACACACACACACACACACACACACACACACACACAGATCCATCCCCTTACCACTGTTAATCTGCACTGCCCTCTTTCTCAAGCTAGGCTGGGTTGCCCACCTAAAAGCGGGAGAGGAGACACAGGGCTAGACATGCTTCAGCCTTGACCAAAACATAACAAAAAACTCTTCTTCATTCAGTCTCCTTTGACACTGCTACTAGCAGTCCATCCTACAGGATCCTATGGTTGACCCTTTTACAGAATATAGTAAGTGTTTAATAACATCTGTTGGAACAGGGTCACTAAAAGCAGGCTTATTAAGCAAGGATGATCTAATTCAAGCCATAGTCTTACAAAAAACTTACAAGCAGATGTTTGTGTTACAAACAGCTTATGAGAATTTGGGGGTAATACTGAAATGATGCTTCAATGCAAAAAAAAAAAAAATCAACTAAAAGAAATGAAAAAGTTATCAAAAAGATGGAGAACAAAAAATAGCTCCTGGGATTCCCTGGTGGCGCAGTGGCTGAGAGTCCGCCTGCCGATGCAGGGGACACGGGTTCGTGCCCCAGTCCGGGAAGATCCCACATGCCGCGGAGCGGCTGGGCCCGTGAGCCATGGCCGCTGAGCCTGCGCGTCTGGAGCCTGTGCTCCGCAAAGGGAGAGGCCACAACAGTGAGTAGGCCCGCGTACTGCAAAAAAAAAAAAAGCTCCTTGTTTTTTATTTTAAAAAGTAAAAAGCAAAACTATCTTTTAACTGCATGCTAAGTACTATGCTTTATACTGGTGATAAACTATCACTCCAAGTGAGGGAAATATCACTCAAGATGCCTTCAAGGATCTCATAATCCAGAAAGGGAAACACAAACATTAGCAGATAATGCTCGTAAGATGACATGGTGGGACAATGAAAGAGATATTTTTTCAGTATAACTGCAGCAGAGATGAAATTAAAGACTCAATTGGTAATAGCAATGCCCTTCTTCATCCCATGCAGACTATTGCTTATAACCTTGCAATAAGAGCTGAGAATGCCATTTAAATTAAAATAGTCCAACAAACTTACTCTACCAGATTTAAAATATATTGCTATAATAATCCACTGTAATTTATATGGATATGACACTGGTTTAAAACTAGGTAGGTATAATAGAATAGAGAGTATAGAAACAGAGTTTGATCTAGCATAAATATGGTATTTCATATCAGTAAAGAAAGTATGGATTATTCAATAAATGATCTTGAAATAGATTTTAGTTTGGAGGGAAAATTACATCATATCCCTAGCTCTTCTTAGTAGCAAATAAATTCTAGGAGGATCAAAGATTAAATATTTTTAAAACACATGAAAAACTAGAAGGAAATATAGGTATTTTAAAAATCTTGAGTCAAATGAGATCTTTCTAAGCATGACACCAAATTTAGAAATTCCAAAAAGAAAATAATTTTTGCTAGATTAAATTTTTAAACTTCTGAACTACAGAAAACTGTCACAAACAAATGTAAAAAGAGAAGCAATCATTTTTTAAAAAAAAACTAGGTCATCTGGACTAATATCCTTAAGACATATGAAGAGCTCTTATAAATGAATAAGGAAAATGTGACTCTCCCTGATAAAATGGGAAAAATGAAATAAAAATGCAATTCACAAAAGATTTACAAATAATCAGGTAGAAAGATAGCATTCTTATTAACAGTCAAAGAAATGCAAATTTCACCACAATAAACGATGGTGAAGATTTTAAGTCTGAAAATACCAGTTTGTGCAGGAAGCAGATATTATTACATGCTGATGGTGGCAAGATACCTCGGTAGAAATCTTCTAGATGGAAATTTGGTAATACGTGTAAAAAGTTAAAGGAGAAGAGAAAATAGAGGGGAAGAAGGTTGAGGGGAAGAAGAGATGCTGAAGGGAATACTTTTGAACTAGCCCTTTTCATGAAATTTGTCTTAAAATTTATCTTAGATATGCTTCTAGGTCAAGGTGTCAGCAGGGTTGGTTTCTCCTGAGACCTCCTTGGCTTGCCGATGGCCACCTTCTCGCTGTATCCTCACGTGGCTTTGCTCTGGCTTTGTTTCCTTTTCATATAAGGATACCAGTCATATTGGATTAAGGCTCTACCCTTATTTAACATTAATTACCTCTCTAAAAGCCCTATTTCCAAATATAGTCACATTCACGGTTAGGGCTTCAACATACGGATTTGGGGGGAACACAATTCAGTCTATTACAAATAGTGAAAAGTGGAAACAACCTAGAGGTCCAGAAAGTAAAATATTATGCAGCCTCACAAGCGATGAAGCCAATTTATACTTGTTAACATGGAAAGCTGTCACGATACACGGCATTTTTTTTTTTTTTGGCCGCACCCCACAGGTTAGGGGATCTTAGTTCCCTGACCAGAGATTGAACCCCTGCCCTCGGCAGTGAAAGCGCAGGGTCATAACTACTGGGCCGCCAGGAAATTCCCTATGACATGTTTCTTAACAGGTTTTAAAACAATAGGCTTAGTATGACCACACTTTTGGAAAAATATATATGTATATTTGCAAAAAAAAGTTTATGTACCCCAACATAAACAAAGTGACATCTGGATAGCGGAGCTCTGAGAAAGATACATATTCAATTTTATATTTTTATGAATAATATAAAATGAATATTTTAACCTTTATAATAAAGGAGAAAAAAGTTATTTTCGAAAGGACGGTTCTGTCCCAAATTTATTTCTTCCAGGATTATTTAAATACATTTCAAATTCTGATTGCTAATTTTTTGCATAAATAATTACAAACTATGAGCCAAAGTGACTCTACAGGGTGCACCAGCGGAGGCCACTGATGCGAGGCAGATTACAAGTTTGAGTGGAAGAGATTCATTTGCAGAAAAATTATGAACATAAAAAGGTGTTAATTAACCAACAGAATTTATGGGTCTGTTTTGTGGACACTGGCACTCATTCAATTTGATTATTGTAGCCTATCAAACTACATAATTTAAGCCAAAAGGCCCTGTTAGAATAGACAAATACATTGACAAATTTCAAAGACAATAGATTCCTTTTTTTAGCAACTTGGAATCGTATGCACAATTTCAACACCAACCAAGTGGAATTTCACAAAAAAAGTGCAGTTTCACAACAAGGAAAAAAACAACGTAACAGTGTATGTTGGTTTAGTCCCTGATTGGCTTATCCACTAATTCAGTCCCCAGAGTGACAACTCTTTCCTTTTAGTGAAAAATCATCTCAATTTGCTACTTCTTTTGAGTTAGTTTTTGTATTTAAAGAATCAAAATTCAAGGCAGCTCCCTCAAATTTGAAGACCTCAAAAGTGAAATCACCTAGTGGTGATGGTCGTTCAGACTAAGCAACATTCCCAGTGTAGCCCTCCCTTCTGCATCATTAGTGATGGTTACGTTGTAGACAGAACCTCCATAATGCAGCTTGATTTGCCTAAATAGAAGAAATAGATCTTTCTCTGTTAGAGGGAAAGTTGGCATCAAGGACAGAAATTCATCTCCTGATTTTTTGCCATCCTCAAACGTTTAGCTAACTGATTCATCAGAACAAGCGAAAGCATAATGTCTTTCAGCCTCTCCTGGGATTATCAGGTAGCTGATTGCAACCTTTCACAATCCTTCAGCATATGGGTTGCATAATCTTTGGGGGATTCTGCAGAATGTGCTGATAATGGTTTCCTCTTTGACGTTCAAGTTAATTATCACTATTGAATCTTTAATACTTAAAAAATATGTGTTGCTTAATTTGTTCATGAATCAGTGGTTTAATAAATGCCAGCATATATATTAAATTATGTTAATGTTTAATATCTTTTTTGAGCAAAGTGCATTAAAAATTAAAATAAAATTAATTCTCACTTTCCCATTCTTACACTGTAGGTAATGTTATTTTACACTGTGCTACAGTCTTCTACAAATTGATGTTCAGTGCTTTGAATTAATGAACTTTGTGATTTATATACTGGCTGGGGTATTATTCATTGCTTTTTCAATTACTGTAAAACTTTATACATCATGGCATGAGACTGAGCAATTGGATGAATAGTACTGGAGGAGTTTTTCTTTTAAAAGGGATCACGTAATAAAGACAGAAAACTAAATTAGCATCTCTAATATGCCAGCCAGCGACACTGGGCTCCGTGTTAGTGGGCTTATGAATGACCTTCCGGAAGTGAAGCTTTCAGAATCAGAATGTTCAGGAAAACCTGATCTCCCGCCCTTGAATAACTGCAAACGTTCATGGCGAACCATTATCATCCACAGAACTAAAAAGCAAGAATCTCTAGAATCCAGCGTATTAGCAAGAGGCTGAGATTTTGAAAGTACTGACATGTCGTATCATCCTATCAATTTTTAGAACTGCCAGAAGTGATGGTTATGCTTTGCACCAATACCTAAATGCGTCCCATGCATCTGACTTCTTTCCATATTTCTTTTAGTCAACACTGACAAGATTCCTATCCCTGCCCTGGGCTCTAAGGGCTGAAGGAACATAACACAGGGATGACATTCCCCCAGGGTTTGCTTTGTTTGTTTGTTTTAATCTCTTGAAAACCCTGTGTCATTCCCAGGAGGAGCATCCCATGTAGTACATGGCCCCAGCTGGAAAACTCAAGGTGAGGCCAATGTGAGGAAAGGCTAGAGGGGGCCTCACTGAACTGCTCCCACAATCACAAAAGAGCGCAAAGCACAGTGAGAAGCCAGGAGAAGCGGTTGACAAGCCAACAGAAGCAGCAAACAGGCTCACTGGGAGTCCAGACTCAGCACCGGCAAGCCACTGCCTGTGAAAAGCCCACAGCCACGCGGGGCCCAGGCTCCTTCCAGCCAGCTTGACCTACTCCGCTCATGACCCTCAACCTACAGGAACTTCAAATGCGCCAATAGAAAGGGAGGCTTTTCACCTGGCCTGAGGGATTTTACTATTCAAAAGGGAGGACAAAGGGAGGGAGGAAAGACCTGTTATCGCCTCAAAAAAATGGGCCTGATGACAAGACCCTGCACCACAAATACCCCAGAAGCCTGGGCAGCCCCTTGCTTACTCAGGCAATTTGAGACCAGACCACACAAAACACCGGAAGGAAGCCTGTGCTTGAGACAAGGGGTAGCCATGTAACTAATAAGCATTTATTAGTCCTGTGCATAGATATGCAAAATACCCATCACACAAGGAGACTTCAAACTCTAATTTTAGGATTTTATTCCTGTCTCAAAAATATAACCTCTGTTTTCTGGAATTTTCCTCATTCTGTTCTGGCATCTCTTAGTTGGTCAATCTGCCTGCATCCCTTTGGTCACCTCCCATTAGAACAGGTCCCCCTCCACCCCGCGCCCCGCCCCCCAGGGCCATTGCCTCCTCTGGCACAGGGCTGGTCCCAAGTCACTGTCTGTCATACAAGCATCCGTCTGACCTGCTTATGGCCTTTCCTGACCCTTGTACCTGATGCTTAGGATGGTTTCTCTGGCTCTTAACACTGTCTTCTGCTTTCTCCTTGATTTAAACCCAGCTCTTTGATGAAGCCTGTCTAAGCCCCCCCAGGAGCCCCTTACCCAGGACAGGTCCCCACCAAGCCAGCCCTGGTTCCTCCAGCTGAGCAGATCAAGGCAGTTCTGGAAATTTTGCTTTTGGAAGTCAAGGAGAAAATCTTATTTTGCATCAACACTTATTGTAAATAACACCTGTAAAAACTGGTGGATTTCTTGTCTGATTCTTTCTCAATGATGCAGCATGGTATGTATCTCAGGGTCCTCATTCCAAACATCAGTGAAGGTTGCACAGAGCTACAGTTCATCCAGTAAGATGGTTCATCCACTAATAGGACCAGACACTGGAATCCTTGGCTTGAGTCACCTCTCTTGTCATTTGATGTTTTCTGATAAGAGACAAGTGCTGTAAAAATAAATAAGCAACAGCATTCCAGTTGTTGCAAGTTCTGGGGAGCAGGAAGCTTTTAGACTTCCTATGCCATAACCATCCAAATGGATCCCAAAAGTTATGTAGCTCCTGGAAAGTGTCACAATTATCTTGGCAAGTAAGTCACTCTGCCCAGAAGTACCCACAAAATCCATTTTTTTAACGTCTTTATTGGAGTACAATTGCTTTACAATGGTGTGTTAGTTTCTGCTTTATAACAAAGTGAATCAGCTATACATATACATATATCCCCATATCTCCTCCCTCTTGCATATCCCTCCCACCCTCCCTATCCCACCCCTCTAGGTGGTCACAAAGCACGGAGCTGATCTCCCTGTGCTATGCGGCTGCTACACACTAGTTATCTATTTTACATTTGGTAGTACATATAAGTCCATGCCACTCTCTCACTTCATCCCAGCTTCCCCTTCCCCCTCCCTGTGTCCTCAAGTCCATTCTCTATGTTTGTGTCTTTATGCCTGTCCTGCCCCTAGGTTCCTCAGAACCAGTATTCTTTTTTTTTTTTTAGATTCCATATGTATGTGTTAGCCTACAGTATTT